AGATGATTAACAAAAGAAAGGTGTCTTGGGGCGCCTGGGTGGCTCAGTTGGTTGAGCGACCGACTTCGGCTCGGGTCATGATCTCGCAGTCTGTGAGTTCGAGCCCCACATCGGGCTCTGTGCTGACAACTCAGAGCCTGGAGCCTGCTTCTGATTCTGTGTCTCCCTCTCCCTCTGCCCCTCCTCTGCTCATGCTCTGTCTCTCTCGGTCTCAGAAATAAATAAACATTAAAAAAATTAAACAAAACAAAAAAACGTGTCTTGTTAACTCTGAGGTCATGTGTCCTATCTGTCTCATCCCCTAGGCTAGCTAAGATAAACTGAGGTGGTGCCTCATGTCCACTGTAAACAACCCTATGCCCGGCTGCCCGGTGCCAAGATTTTGTTTTGTATTAACCTACACCCCTAATCCTGAATATATTCAAAACCCCCTTTTCCCTCATGCCCATGAGTTAATTTTCACTGATTCATTGTCTCTTTGTGCATGTCCATCACCATGTTTGTAAGCCTTCCAATCCTAATAAAAATGGGGCAAGGACACATATTCCAGGCTGTTGTCTTTTCCCAGACAAGATTCTCACTTTTCATCCTGCGTCCTGCTCTCTTACTAGACCAGAGAGAAATTTAGACCCAGAGACTATGACAACTAATGAAAGAAGAGAAATAACCAACACCACAGAAAGACAAACTATTTTAAGAGAATATTATGAAAAATTACACGCCAACAAATTGGATAACCTAGAAGAAATGGATAAATTCCTAGAATTACACAACCTACCACAATTGAATCAAGAAGAAACAAAACTTGAACTGACCAATAGCTAGTAAAGAAATTAAATCAGAAATCAAAAAAAACTTCCAAGAAACAAAAGTCCAGGACCAGATGGCTTCACAGGAGAATTCTAGCAAACCTTTAAAGAAGAGTTAAAGTGTGCTTGGGTGGCTCAGTCAGTTGAGTGTCTGACTCTTGATTTTGGCTCAGGTCATGATCTCATAGTACATGGGATCAAGCCCAGAACCAGGCTCCATGCTATCAGCCCAGGGATGCTCTCTCCTCTCTCTCTGCCCCTCCCCTGGGTCGTGTGTGCACACATGTTCTCTCTCAAAATAAATAAATAGTAAAAAAATTAAAGAAAATAGAGTTAATATCTATTCTTATCAAACTATTCCAAAAAATAGACGAGGAAGGAAACATTCCAAATTTGTTCTATGAGCCCAGCATTATCCTGATACCAAAACTAGAGAAAGACATCACCAAAAAAGGAAGTACAGGCCAAATATCTCTGATGCAAAAATCCTCAACAAAATACTAGCAAATCAAATCCAACAATACGCTAAAAAAAATCATTCACAACAATCAAGTAGGATTTATTCCCAGGATGCAAGTGTGGTTCAATATTTGTAAATCAATCAATGTGATTCATCAACAAGAGAAAGGATAAAAACCATATGATCATTTCAGTAGATGCAAAAAAAGCATTTGACTAAGTACAACATAGTCAACCATCCATGATACCCATTCATGATAAACTCTCAACAGAGCAGGTCTAGATGGAATACACTTCAACATAATAAAGACCTTATATAAAAAAATCACAGTGAACATCATACACAATGGGGACAAACTGAAAGCCTTTCTTTCCCCTAAGGTCAGGAACAAGTCAAGGATGTCCACTCTTACCACTGTTAGTTAACATAGTACTGGAAGTCCTAGCCACAGCAATCAGACAACACAAAGAAATAAAAGATAAAGATAACTGGATTACAAGGTAAACTCAAAAGTATACGCTATATATACTCAAGAGTATATGCTAACTGGATGGGGAGAGGGGTTGTGGAACAAGGAGAGGTCAAAGGTGACTCCTAAATTTCTAACCAGGAAATGGTGCCTCATGTAGGGGCACCTGGGTGGCTCAGTTGGGTAAGTGACAGACTTTGGCTCGGGTCAAGATCTCGAGATTCGTGAGTTCCAGCCCTCTGTTGGGCTCTGTGCTGACAGCTCGGAGCCTGGAGCCTGCTTCAGATTCTGTGTCTCCCTCCCTCTCTGCCCCTCCCCTGTGCATGCTCTCTCACTCTCTCTCAGAAATAAATAAAATTAAAACATTTTAACAGATTAAATATTTCAGAAGGAAAACGATTAGTGAACTTGAAGGCATAGCAATAAAAACTATAGAAAACAAAACAAAGAAAAGGGATTTTTAATAATGAGATTTGGAAAGAAAGAGAGCATCAATGAGCTGAGAGACAATGTAAAGTGGCCTAATATACAAGTATTTGGAGTCCTTAAAAGAAGGGAAGAGGGGGGAGAACTGAAAATATACTTGAAGAAGTAACAGCTTACGATTCTCCAAACTTGATGAAAATTATAAATCCACAGATCCAAGAATCTCAATGAACCCCAAACACAAGAAATATGAAAACATTACATCAAGGCAAATCATAACCAATTTGCTAAAACAAACAAACAAACTAAAAACAGTGATAAAGAGAAAATCTTAAAAGCACCAATAGGCTTGCTCGATGTAGGATGGCCACAAAACTTCAATCTGTAAAAACACATCTGCAAAGTCCAATAAAGAGAATCACAAAAAAACAAGGTATGCCTGTATGGCAAAAGATGTACAAGACCCACATTACAAAACATTGCTGAGAGAAATTACATGAGTTAAATAAATGGGAAGATATAACTTTGTTCATAAGAAGACCTGCTGATGAAATACAACTTATTCATAAGAAGACTTCATTTGCTGAGACATCAAGTCAAAATCACAGCAGGGTTTTTTTTGTAGATATTGACAAGCTGATTCTAAAATTCATATGGAAATGCAAAATATCTCTAGAATAGCCAAAACAACTTTGAAAAAGAACAAAGTTCAAAATAATTTTGAGACTAATTATGAAGCCACAGAAATAAACACAGTATGGTATTAGCATCGAAAAAGAACTGGCTTGGGGCACCTGGGTGGCTCAGTTCGTTAATGGTCCAACGCTTGGTTTCAGTTCCGGTCATGATCTCAACGGTTCCTGGGATGGAGCCCGCGTTGGGCTCTGCGCTGACAACATGGAAACTGCTTGGGAATCTCTCTCTTCCTCTCTCTCAAAATAAATAAACTTAAAACATACACACACACACACACAGAAAGTTAACTAGCTCAATGGCACAGAATACAGAGTCCAGCAATAGACCCAAAGGTATATGATAATCAATTTTTTATCCAAGTGCAAAGACAATTAAATGAGGAGAGCTTTTCAACAAAGGGTACTGAAATAATGGGAAATTAGTGTCATAGATACCAATCGCTCACCAAAAAAATGTAGAATGGGGGAGGGGTCTCTCAACTTAGCGCCAAGCTCAAAGCCAAGTTTATTTATCTCTGATAAATCTTTCCCCGTAATGGTCCCTCGAGTTCTACCTTTACTATGTGAGTAGTGACAGAAGTGTGTTGGTGGGAAAACACTATGTAATGAGCATGTGCTGGCTGTTAAGCAATTTTAATAACTATTATGCCAGTAACTTTTAGAGTCTTAAGACTTCAGGATGTACGAGGACTGTCGTATATTGGTAAATGTTTAATAAAAGGGAGAGAAGAGGCCCTCATGTGCAGTGAGTGAATACTCCCAGGCAGTGGATTTCAAGCCGCCAGGTGATGTGACTGAAAGTGGATGTTAGGAGATTTGTGCCTACTATTCCCCCCACACAAATAGGATAGAGGTGAACAACCCCAAGAGCAGATAGTAGTAAAATAATTAGGAAGTTACAGTTTTCAGTACCGAACACCTTCGTTTAAAAAATAATTTATTTAGTGGAGTGCCTGGGTGGCTCAGTTGGTTGAGCATCTGACTTCAGCTCAGGTTATGATCTCGCAGTTCCTGAGTTTGAGTCCTGAATCAGGCTCTGCGCCGACAGCTTAGAGCCCGGAGCCTGCTTTGGATTCTGGGTCTCCCTCTCTCTTGGCCCCTCCCCTGCCTGCACTCTGTGTCTCTCCCTCTCAAAAATAAATACACATTAAAAAAATTTTTTTTTAATTATTTAATTGTAAGGCGACATAACTTAAGTTTTGATAATGGCAGTATTTAAGGATCATCTAGCCAAACTCTGAATTTTTAAGTCTGGTCCCATGAGCCAGCGCCAGCACACCACTGGCCCGGGGCAGTTTCCTAAGGAAAGTACAAGGTAACTCCAGGTAACTTCTAACTTCGTGACTCCCAATGAAAGAGAAAGTTCTTCGGTGCACTTTTTTCAGTACGCGCAACAAACAGATGACGAAACAGAGGCCAGGTGCAACTGAAGAGTCCATACATGGTGTCAGGTGGGAAAGGGTTTGAGCTCAGGTCTGTTCCCAAAGCTAGCGACGAACACATCCTACGAGTTCCTCCATTTGAAAACAGCCTGACTTCAACTTTTAGTTCTGCCCCGGGATTTAAGGGGGCGCGGAACGAGGGGCAACGGAAGAGGCAGAAAAGGAGCATTTTAAACGTATAAATGCCCTTTTAGCAGCCGGAAGGCTCTCTACAAATCAGTACCAACCCGATCCCAGGTACGTGTCTGTGGCCTACGAGCCCTTATTCCTACAACTTCTCGTGTGCGTTCCTACCTGCCAAGAGTCTTAAGTCTTCTTAAGAGGAGGAGGTTGCTGGGGAACACGATTGCGCAAAGTGCCAAAGCGCGAAGCCGGAGGGCGCGGAAGCTGCAGCGGAATGGGCGGCAACCGCGGTGGAGGAGGGGCGGGGTGGGGCGGGGCCGCCCGTTCTCCCCGCCTCCCGGGCCTAGCGCGGGAGGCCGGCCTAGCTCCTCTGCGCCCCAGCGCTCTGGCGGGCGGGGAAGTGGTTAAGGCTGGCTGCCCCCGTAGGGGCGCAGAGTCTAACGAAATCAAAGGCCGCTGCCCCGCCCGCCTCAAGGCGCGCGCCGGGGTCACGTGCCCCTTCGGTGACTGGGGAGGAGCTGGCTTGCAGGGGGCCCAGCACTAATCCGGACCCGAGCCTTGGTCGCTGTCGGAGCCATGCTGCGGAGCTGCGTCTCACTACTGCGCACGCTTGCGGTTCTGCGCGGCCCGCCCGGAGTTGCGCCTCTGCCGGCGAAGGACCCGTGGTCGCCGCGGGTGAATCCCGGACCCGGGCGGCGGGAGCGGGCGGCCAAGCCAGGCTGCGTCAGGGGTGACCCGGTGAGGACGACTGCGCCGGACTGTTGATCAGCCCGCTGACCGTAGAGTAAACGCTAACGTCAGCCCCAGAGGCGTCGGTTTTATTTTTAGCAGGGGTCGCTTACTTAAAGTCCTGAGGTTCAAAGACGGAGAGGGACAGGGAGGGGACTCCGGTATGAAGCAGCGTGCTGTATGCTGGATTCTGGTCATTAGGTCGGGAAATCCCGCTGCTACTGATGACCAATAAAGAAGGGGTCATGGTTCGGGCAAGGTCACAGCAGGCGCCTGGTGGAGCTGGAGTCTGACTTAGCACTCCGGCTCTTGACCGTCACATTGTAGGGTCGCAAGAAGAGCAGTGTCTCTCCCTAGAGGTTCATCCTAATCGTCTCTGCTTGACGGAAAATTGTATCCTCAAACCAGTTTGTCACTTTTGGTGAGGTTGTTGTAAGATTAAAATGAGGTAATATTGCTTGTTCTGGTGTTCCTATGTTTTGCTTCACTGACATAGTCAATTAATATTAATTAAGCCCCAACAATATGCAAGGCATTAGTCTGATGATGTCTTTATGACAAGTAAAACTCTCTCAGTTGAGAGAGTTTTGGGAGAAAAAGATGAGATTGTAAAATTAAAAAAAAAAATGTACTGGCGCAACTGGGTGGCTCAGTAGGTTGAGCCTCTGTTCAGCTCAGGTCATGATCTAACGGTTTGTGAGTTCAAGCCCCAAGTGGGGCTCACTGCTGTCATCGGGGAGCCCGCTTGGGGTCCTCTGTCTCCCTCTCTCTCTGCCCCGCCGCTGCTCGCAGCTCTCTTTGTGAGCTCTCTCCCAAAAATAAATAAAACATTTTTTTTTAAATGTACTGTATGCTAAAATGAAGTACTAAAGGAACATAGAGGAGGGAACAGCTCTGTATTGAGCTCTTTCTTGTACCTTTTAAAGAATAACGTGGGCGAAGGTTCCTGGTGGCTCAGTGGTTGAGTGTGGGACTCTTGATTTTTGCTCAGGTAATGATCCCAGGGTGTGGTATCAAGCTCTGCATAGGGCTCCATGCTGGGCATGAAGCCTGCTTAGGATTCTCTGTCTCTCCCTCTGCCTGTCTCCCCTGTTCATGTGCACTCTCTCACTCTCTCTCAAATTAACAAACAAACAAAAAAAAAGGAATAATGTGCAGATTGGTTATTAACCCAATACCATCTTTCACTTGGGAAAAGATAATGTCCAGTGCCCCTCTCACAACAACAAAGATAAATTCCTTTCTTTAATTAGTCGGTGCCTTGTAATCTGTGTTGAGAATATTTAATAGTAGTATTTATAGGCTTTGTGAGTCTTTTCTTTCTGTTCAGTAACTGAATCTTAAAAGGAGACATATTAAAAAGAAGTCGTAACTTGGGGCACCAGGCTGGCTCAATCAGTAGAGCATGCAACTCTTGATCTTGGGTGGTGAACTCTAGCTCTATGTTGGGTGTAGAGATTACTTTAAAAAAAAAAGTCATAACTTCAGGTAACAAGCCCCACCTGAAAAATATATTACCAAAGATCAAGTAAGACTTTTCCTCTTCCAAGGGCTACAAAAGGTAATGTTTGTCCCTAACATTTATCCCTCATGTATACAGTCTGTGCTGAAAATTTACAAGTGACTTTACATCAGGTATCTCTTAGTTTTCACCCCCTTGAACTGAAGCTTTCATTGTTTTTATTTCTCACATCACACTGTTCATCTGAGGACCTAAACTCAACATGCCTGTAACTAAAATTAATAGATCCACTTCTACACTTCCCCCTCCTAACACACACACAAACACTAACAAAAACCTCCTTTCTTCTTCCCACCCTAATCTGCAAAGCAGATTGCATCATCCAAGGCTCTCCTACTTCTCTTTCCCCATGATCAGTCTCTCTCCACGTTCCTTGTTCCCAGTATCTTTTAAATCTTTTTTTTTTTTTTCATTTCTCTCCACCTAGTTCAACTTCTAATCATATCTCACCTGGATCTTGGCGTCAGTCTTTTAACTGCTTTCCGGGCCGTTCTTCTCACCTTGGAATTCATCCTTTACAACAGAGAGAGGTTTTTGAAACCTAAATTCATGTTACTGCTTTGCTTAAAACTTTGTAAGGCTCCCCATAGTGGAAAAAGGTGTTTTATCATTCAAATGCCACCTTCATGATTTTTTAAAGACTACCTTTCTTTTCTTTTTCTTATTTATTTTTTATTTTACATCCAAATTAGCATGTAGTGCAACAATGATTTCAGGAGTAGGTTCCTTAGTGCCCTTACCCATTTAGCCCATCCCCCCTCCCACAACCCCTCCAGTGCCCCTCAGTTTGTTCTCCATATTTATGAGTCTCTTATGTTTTGTCCCCCTCCCTGTTTTTATATTATTTTTGTTTCCCTTCCCTCATGTTCATCTGTTTTGTCTCTTAAAGTCCTCATACGAGTGAAGTCATATGATTTTTGTCTTTCTCTGATTAATTTCACCTAGCATAATATCCTCCAGTTCCATCCACGTAGTTGCAAATGGCAAGATTTCATTCTTTTTGATTGCCAGGTAATACTCCATTGTACATGTATACCACATCTTCTTTATGCATTCATCTATCGATGGACATTTGGGCTCTTTGCATGCTTTGGCTATTGTTGATAGTGCTGCTATAAACATGGGGGTGCATGTGTCCCTTCAAAACAGCACACCTGTATCCTATGGGTAAACGCCTAGTAGTGCAATTGCTGGGTCGTAGGGTAGTTCTATTTTTAGTTTTTTGAGGAACCTCCATACTGTTTTTCAGAGTGGCTGCACCAGCTTGCATTCCCATAAAGACTACCTTTCTTTAATGAGCTTTATCCTGAGGAATAACTTATGAAGTCACAAGTGTGATGTGTTATTTATGTCCTTTGATAATATGCATTTAAAAATACATAAGTCATTGTCCTTGTGCCACCTAAAATCATCTTTCATTTTGGCCTTTGGAAACATTGACCTAGCAGGTGAAATCTAAGCCCTGTGTTAAGGCCAAAGAGCCTCTGTGATGTGTTTCATCTTCCACCTTGCAGTCCACATCTGGCTGCTATTCTCTTTGCACCTTACATCCATGAAGACTGAAATCCTGGCAGTGCCCCCAAGGTGTCACACGGTTGTGTCATCTCTCTACACCTTTGCTTGGTGCAACATTCCCCTTCTCTCCTTAGTGAACTTTGTATCCTTTAGAGATCACTCCATCAGTCCTCATCTTTTTGAAGTTTTCCCTGAGTGTCCCTCCTATGTCTGTATGTACCTCTGTTAGGGTATTTTTCACATCCGAGGCTGCAAGCACTTGAGGGCAGAGCCTAAGTCTTCTCTCTTTGTCTTAACCAGTTGCTGGCATAGAGCCAAGTGTATAGCAGATTTTAAAAAGTCACTGCATTTAGTTGAATCCCACACTTTCAAAGTTGAAATCAGGTAGGAGAGCCCACAGCCAACGGAGTCATTCTTGAGTTATCTCTATCACCCTGGTCCTTAAAAGGATGCTGGGACTGATCTATCCTACAGTTGCCTGTTTAAGATGAGACCTAGGGATGGGCCATATCCTACACATTCTATTCTACCTTTCAACTGATATATGTTGGTCAGTACATATTTTATCTGTGATTACTTGTATCTGTTAGTTATTTCCAGAATTCATGTGCTTTAATTTTTTTGAGAGAGAGAAAGAGAGAGAGAGAGTGTATGTGTGTGTGTGTGCGTGTGTGTGCCCTTGCAAGCAGGGGAGGGACAGAAAAAGGAGAAAGAATCTCAAGCAGGCCCTGTCCTGTCAGCACAGAGCCCAACATGGGGCAAGAACTAATGAACCTTGAGATCATGTCCTGAGCCAAAATCAAGAGTTGGTTGCTTAACCAACCAATTGAGCCACCCAGATGCCCCCAGAATTCATGTACTTTAAAAGCCATGTGATTGAGACTGGATTCTAAGGAAATAATCCAAAATAGAGAAAAAGCTATTTTCATAATGTTCTAATGAACATTTTCATTTAAAGCAGTAAAAAATTGGAAACAGTTTTATTTTTGTTTGTTTTTAAATGTTTTTAATGTTTGTTTATTTTTGAGAAAGAGAAAGAGAGAGTGTGAGCAGGGAAGGGTCAGAGAGAGACACACACACAGAATCTGAAGCAGGCTCCAAGCTGTCAGCACAGAGTCCAACGAGATCATGACCTGAGCCGAACCAAAGTCAGATGCTTAACCAAGTGAGCCACCCAGGTGCCCCTGGTAACACTTTATTTATTTATTTATTTTTTAATTTTTTTTTTCAACGTTTTTATTTATTTTTGGGACAGAGAGAGACAGAGCATGAACGGGGGAGGGGCAGAGAGAGAGGGAGACACAGAATCGGAAACAGGCCCCTGGTAACACTTTAAATGGCTAAGTTAATTAGTTTAAAGGACTATTTTCTGCTGTTGAAAATGGTGATAGTTGAGATTAAGGACATGAGAAAGTGGGCACTAAATACTTTTAAGTGGTGAGGCAGAAAAAAAAATCTCTTACTGAAATTACAAGTTTATTAAGAAAGATTACATTTAACAAAAGTTGGTAGAGAGACATCAAAATTTTAACATTGTTTTTCTTAAGATATATAATAGGTAATGGGTGGATTTTTTAAAATTGTTTTTTCTTTCCCAAATTTTCTGAGCTGGGTTCTAAAGATGAGTGAATTCAAAGCCATAAGGAAAAAATAAAGGTACAAATCTTGGGCCAGGGAGTGGAGCAGTCTGATCCTGCTCACATTTCCTCTGTGAAGTTGATGCTTTTTCTGTTCAGCCAAGACGTTTTTAATTCTGTAGAGTTTTTGAGACAGGCCACCTATAGTGTCCCCATCGGCCAGGATGAGAGCCAGCGAGGTGTCAGCAGAAGTCTGGTCGGCTGCTTCTCCTGTCATTAGCACAGCCTTGCTGTTTTGGTTTCAGGGTGTTGTCCTAGTGTTGTAGATCCATTCAATCTGAATGGACATAGGTGGCTGGAAGTCTAATGCCACAGAGCTGATAGCTTCTGTGATCTTAAATGTTCCAAGATTTCTGCCAAAGTCAAAAGAACCAATTTTCCTTTCTGGTGCCTTTGCTTTGTCCTGCTCCTCTTAGTTAAGTCACACTTTGTCCCCTTCCAGGGCCTCTGCACCATTCCACTTGCTTCTTGGGCACAGGAGTGTTAGTGTTGCTCAGTGCTGCAGAGAAATAGCATGGGTGGAAGCTGTGGTTACTATGAACCCAAGCACCTGTCCCCCCAACCTCCTCCTCCTCTTTATATCTCTTTCTTGGTAATTGTTTCTGTCACTCACTGTGTTGCACAATTCAGAAACTGGGGGTGGGTGCTTGTGTTTTTCCTCTTCCCTTTCTCCTTATCAAAATGACCACCAAGTTCTGCCTCATGCATTCATAATTTTTCACTTGGGTTACCTCTAAAATCCTCCACGCAGGGTCCTCAGATCCAGTCTTGGTCCTTCCCACTATCTTTCATATGATGACCAGATCACATCTTGTCATTTTGGAGTACTGCAGATACAGATCAGTTCAGGCCAACTAGCTTAGTGTGGAAGTTTCTCACAGCCAAGCCTGTTTCTGTCGTAGACTCTAAGGCTAAAGTTCTCTCTTGTCTAGCAAGTGAGCGGGACACAGGATTAAAATGCGAGAGATGGCTAATGTCTGGGAAAAGACAAGAGCCCCAAATAAGGGTCCTTGCCCCATTTTTATTAGGATCAGAAGGCTTACAAACATGGTGATGGACATGCACAAAGAAACAATGAAACTGAACATTAACTGGAGGACGTGAGGGAAAGGGGGTCTTGAAGGTATTCGGGGTTAGGGGTTTGGGTTAATACAAAACAAAATCCTAACGCCAGGCAGAAGGTTGTTTACAGTGGACATGAGGCACCACCTTTGTTTATCTTAGCTTGCCGGAGTCCAGCTCCAGCAGGTCCAGGGATTCCCGAAGGATGAACGGCATCGGCAAAAAAGTGAAAATAAAACTAAAATAAAAAACCAAAAATAATGGACACAAACAACAGCAGTTGAACTGCTGTGTTGAACTGGCTGATTTATTGTGGCAAACATAGCATTATATTTGCTAGTGATTTCCTTGTAGCATACATCATCTAGTTTTTCTAACATTACCTAATTCTAAAAATGTTCCTATGTCTAATCAACCTTTAAGAAATAACATGGTTATTTTCTCATAATGTTCCCTCCTGCCCTTTGCTTATTGATTAATTTCTTACATTATTTTCATTATGTATCTACATTTATCTATAATCTGTAAAGCATTTGCTTTGCTATTTTCACGGAAGGTCATCTATCTCTCAACACCTCAAGTGGAAGAGTTACAGGGACATGACCTCTTAGTTGTTTCCCTGAACCTTTTGTGGTTTGAGGAACAAAAGTGTTTGCCTTGGTCCAAGGTGCCAGGAGGGGGCCAAAAGGACCTTAGGAACCCACGCCTTATACATTCTCAGAGGGACAGTGTACCTAGGAACTAATGAACCATTCTGTACTTTAACTGACTAGGTTCAATCATCATCTGAAATGCCTCCTGGGGGCCAAGTGGGCGTAGGGGTTAGAGTAACTTGTGCCCGTAGATAACACTCCTTAGTTGCTGGAGTGGGGCTTTTAAATTCATATGTCCCTATGCTGGCAAATGTATGAGGCTGTTCTTCCTTTAGGTAGAGGAGTCTTCACAAGGAGTAGCAAGGGCTAAATGTGGGGCCGCACAATTTCCTTGAGGAACCTATTTTTCTTTTCTAATAGTTCTTTTCCCAGGGGGCCTGTCGAGGGCAATTCCCCCACAGACAATACCCCAGGTACTTTTATTAAGGCCAAATTACCTAAAAGTGGGAGTACAAGAAGCTTCACTGTCTGTGGGCTGCCTTATAGTCCCAATCCATCCACAGCAAGGGCCTTGCCATCAGGCTAGGATAGCTGGGCTTCCAGCATTAGCTAGCCTAGGGGATGAGACAGGTAGGACAAGTGACCTCAGAGTTAACAAGGCACCTTTCTTTTGTTAATCATCTCCGCTCTGGGCAGCTTCACCTACAGCATAGCGGTCTATAGCCCAATTTACCTGTTTACCTAGCTTGGTCCTTTCCTCCTGTGAAAGCAGCTTTCTGCTATAGTACTAAATTGGGGGACATTTTTGCCCTGAACACCTAGTCTTGCTTACCTCATATACCTTTGTATTGGGGGCCTAGTCTGGGTGCCTTTGCACTCCCCTGTCTCTCTTGGGGTAGTAGTCTTATTTACCCAAGCATCCTTTGGCTTTGTACTTCTTTATGCCTTGTTAATGCATTGGTATAAGTCCAGGGAATTTCTAAGCTTATTCCCCACACGTTTCTGTAGCCATGCTCCTCCCCTTGCACTGAAACAAAGCCAGGCTTCTTTTAGGCCTTAGTTTCATCATCTGTAAAATGGGGATAATAATTAGTACCTACTTCATATGGTTGTCCTAAGGCCCCTCAAAACTATGTCATGCCTCCTTGATTTTGCATACAGTTTTCCCTTGCCTACAATACCCTTTCTAGTTTGCTAATTTCTGTTTGTCTAATCAAGATTCAAGTCCCTGAACCATGCCCACCCCCCCCCCACCCCCCACCCATCTGAGATAAACGCTTTTCCTGTGCTCTGGCTCCCTGCATACCCTACTGATGACACTTTTTACATGGAGGATGTGTGTCCTTCATCACTTTATCTCCAGTTCCTGGCTCACTTGTGCTTAAGGTTTTTTTAAAAAAGGAATCCACAGACCTGGGAATAATGCTGCTCTGCTAGTAGGTAGTTGGGTGATATTGAGCACATCATTCACCCTCAGTCACCTCCTCTCAAGGAGGTTGGACCAGGTGATACTTGAAATATGATTTCACTCTAAAATGACAGTTTTCTGGGAAGAGGAGAAGCAGCAAGTTATAGTCTCGGAAAATACAATATGTTATGAAATAGAGTGCACCTCCCATTGTTCTTCATTTTCTCCTCTCTCTTTTTTAGAGGTCATTTTCTTCTGAGGTCATTCATATGGACCTTTCTCTCCCCAACCCCAGTTGGAATGAGGACATGAGACTTCTCTTTGACCAGTTCATGAAAAAAAGTGAAGACGGCTCTTGGAAACATTTGCCTTCATATAAAAGTAAATTTACTCAAAGGACTGAAGACATCAAAATCTATTTTCCTGGTAGGAACAGCCACTCTCTCATAAAGAATATTTAAGTGTCAGTATAAAACAGAACAGAAGGCACTGGTTACTGATGTGAAAATGTTGGGGTTCAGGAGTGAACAGTCAAGAAAGAATTCTTAAGGCATCTTTGGTGCAAAAAGGGTGGTTTTATTTTATTTTATTTTTAATTTTTTAAAAAAAGTTTATTTATTTTTGAGAGAGAGAGCACAAGCTGGGGAGGGGCAGAGAGACAGAGGGAGATACAGAATCCAAAGCAGGCTTCAGTGAGATCATGACCTGAGCCAAAGTTGGACACTTAACTCATTGAGCCACACAGGTGCCCCCAAAAAGGGTGGTTTTATTAAAGCACAGGGCCGGACCCATAGGCAGAAAGAGCTTCATTAGGGTTTCAAGGAATGGCTGATTGTATACTTTCAAGTTAGGAAGGGGTTAGGGATAGCAGTAAATCTCTAAGGAATTTGGAAGCAAGGTTTCCAAGACCTTGAGGGGCTAGCTGCTGTTAGGAGAAGGTCATTTATTACTGTCCAATAAAAACTCTGTCATGAGACCCTTCAGATGTATATCAGGGGTCATATGCTTGGAGGATGATTGCTAACATATATCTTGGGGGACAGGGGGGAAGCGGAGAGAAAGAAAATTTCCTAAGGAACTTTTACAGGACCCTGGAGGTCAGACTAATGTCAAGCTAAGGTTGCCTGTTGCCTCTAGCGAAGTATTAATTAACATCAAGGCAGCTAAGCTTCTTGAGGAAGGTCACTCTGCCTGTCTCAAGTACTTGTCAATGGGCTATAACTTTTTTTATGACCTGCTAACTTTTAAGAGTCAACCTAAAACCCAAAATGGCTTTATGTTGGTCAACTTCTCTTCTGAACCTTCAGGTACATGCCTGTGGGCAGTAAAGGTCAGATGTCATTATCTTGGGGTCAATCACAGATTGGGGGGGGGGGGGTTCTGGCTGCCTCAGGGCAGTCCTTATTGCTTGAGGGGATAGTTTTGGTTCCCATCATGGGATACTTTGCCCAGAGGGCTTTTTGCCTGAGTTCAAAGATAAGCTGGAAAGAAGAACTTAATCAATTAGGAAGGTTGAGGTGGTTGAAAGTCCTTCAGCAGTCTCATTTTCCTGGTTTGCAGTTTGACTATCTCTGGTGATGTCATCAGGTATGAACCCTCTGAGCAGCCAAACTGCAACAGGCAAAGCACTATCCACAGGTGAGCCATTGTGATTTCTGTGAAGTTTCTATCAAAGCAGTTCAGCTTCAGTTTGCAGGGCTTCAGGAAAAGTTGTTTTGTTCTTAGTGATTCCAAGTCAGAAGGGTGGGAGAAAATTAGAAACATTAGTTTGGAGGGTCGGAATTGGATATTTGAGGAAACTAGAAGAATTTAGAATCCAAGTAAATTTGCAGATAGATAACAGAACCGCCAAAGACAGTTAATAGCACTGGGACCTGATATCCGCAAAAGTGTGGTATGGAAATATACTTTTTCTCTCTACAATCACCCATTTGGTTTTTGTTTGTTTGTTTGTTTGTTTTAAAGTTTATTTATTTTTGAAAGAGACAGAGTGCAAGTTGGGGAGGGCCAGAGAGAGAGGGAGACACAGAATCCGAAGCAGGCTCCAAGCTCTGAGCTGTCAGCACAGAGCCCGACGGGGGGTGGGGGCAGAACCCATGAACCACGAGACCATGACCTGAGCTGAAGTCGGACACTTAACGCCCCTACAGTCACCCATTTGTACCAGAAATAATCACAGTAAGACTAGTTTGATTGCAAAATAAATCTAGTCTCATTAAATATGACCTGATTATTTACACAGGTGCTGTAAGAATTGTGATTGGCCACATAGGTTTTTTTGGAGTGTTTACTTTTAATAAGGAATCCCAGATTGGACTTTTAAAAGCCACTCACTGTCTTTGCCTATAATACATATGAATTTGAGTGGATTCTTCTTCTTTCACGGTCCCCCAAATATTCTGCAGTTCCTCAGGCTGCCAGGAAGCGACCATCTTTACCCACCTGTAATGCTAGGAACCCAGCAAGCAAAATACCAGGCAGTTTTCTGAAGGAGGTTTTATTGACTCCATAAAGTCAGCCTTAATCCTTGAAACTGTTTGGTCTTATCTGTGTCTATTATAAGGAACAGATTATCTCCAAATAAATAGATTACTATGAAAATAAGAACACTCAATAAGAGTTTCCAATTCTGGTGGGATCAGATAGGAGAAAGATAAATATTTCAGTTCTATATATCTTCATCAACTCATTCAGTCCCTTGTAATTCTTGTTTTGCTTGATCTTGACAGCTTTATGAATTGAATTTTCCACTAGAGTTCTGGAAATTCTTACCCAGTTCAGTGGTGTGATCTTAAAGTTATCAGAAACCTGTACTTGTCAGAGTCTTTTTCTTGAATCTCTTAGAAGACAAAGCACTTTTACAAAATCATCAGAATAAAACAACTGTCTGTAAATGACGAAAAGACTAAAAAATAGCCATGGTTAAAGATCTAATGAGAGTTCTTTCTAATGCAAATGACAAGGAAATGTGGTTATTTCTGTGACATAGATTTTAAGATAACTAGAATTATGACTGATAACATTATGCCAGGACATACCAGATTATTAGAAATTTCATACACTTGAAATAGTTCAACATCTCTTCTTTAGAAGGTGTTCTGGGGACCTGCTGGGAAATCCCAGAGTTCGTCTGAGTTCAAAGACTTGATTTAAACTTTGGTTTGGTTTGGTCAAATATCAAAAGTTTTAGAGTATCTTATCAAATAGATCAATGTGGAACAATACTTATTCATTTAGCCAGAGTGATGATTAAAAGTTGTCAAAGGCAAACCAGAAAAGTACATAGTTGTAAAAACAAAACAAAAACTTAGATCTTTTAATAGAGAAGAAGACTCCGTATCTTAAGTGATCAAAGACCTGAAAAAGACAACACAAAACACAGGAAATTATTTTGGTAAGATAAAAAATTTTTACTTTCTGGGCAGATTACTTAAAAGGTAAAGAAAAACTTTTCACAATGTCTTATCAAGAGTGGAGTGGGGCACCTGAGTGGCTCAGTCAGTTGAGCATCTGGCTTCGGCTCAGGACATGAACTTACTGCTTGGCTCGTGGGTTTGGGCCGGAGTCAGGCTCTGTGCTGACAGCTCAGAGCCTGGAGCCTGCTTCAGATTCTGTCTCCCTCTGTCTCTGACCCTCCCCCGCTCATGCTCTGTCTCTCTCTCTCTCTCAAAAATAAATAAACCTTCAAAAAAATTTTAAAAACGTCCTTTTAACAGATGAAAGATTGTTAAATTTTAATTTTGTGCTGATAGTCTATTAAAACTTATATTAGGGGCGCCCGGGTAGCTCAGTCGGTTAAGCATCTGCCTTCAGCTCAGGTCATGACCTCATGGTTCAGTTCGTGAGTTCAAGCCTCACATCAGGCTCTCTGCTACCCATTGCTGTCCATGCAGAGCCCACTTCAGACCCTCTCCTCCCTGACCCCTCCCCTGCTCCTCTCCCACCTGTGCACACACGCTCTCTGTCTCTCTCTCTCTCAAAAATAAGTAAGCAGGTAAGTAAGTAAAACTTATTTAAAAAAACTTTTATAAAAATTCATTCAGTGTTAGCCACCTTGATCACACAAGGTAAGATTCTCCCTCTCTCCTCTCCAACTTCATCTACTTAGTTTGCCCTTTATTCTCCTCTTATCATTCTGAAAGAACTAGTTATTCTGCTTGCGGACAAAATTATTCTTTTGTTTCCTTAACAAAAACCCATCTCCATACATCATAACCTTTTCTTACCAAAAATACATCCTACTTTCTTTGAATACAGTTATTTCCCTTATTATTTCTAGTATTTTTAAGGACATTAAAATTAAAAAAAAATTTTTTTTAATGTTTATTTATTTTGAGAGAGACAGAGACAGAGTGTGAGAGGGGGAAGGGCAGAGAGAGAAGGAAACAGAATCCAAAGCAGGCTCCAGGCTCTGAGCTGTCAGCACAGAGCCCAACATGGGGCTTGAATTCACGAACCATGAGATCATGACCTGAGCCAAAGTCAGACACTTAACTGACTGAGTCACCGTAGGTGCCCCTATGTTAGAATTCTCAACCTATTAAAACCTTAATTTCTAGTGAAAATGAAAAAGTAAGCAATTGTGAACTGTGTGATGCCATCATGGTGTAGATTGGCAAATTTATGAATACATTTTATGATTTCTATAAGCATATGCTTCCTCATAGTGCAGTTTTTCAGTGTGGCACAGGACATGTTTACTAACAGACTCCAATATGTTTGGCTAACTCTGTAATAAGAGGCCACAAGTAGGTAAACTTGGACTTATTAGCAATTAATGTTTTGGTATTTTTTTCTTTTTTTTGTTTTCATGAATGTTTATTCATTTTTTAGAGCATTAGCGGAGGAACGGCAGAGAGAGGGAGACAGAGGATCTGAAGCAGCCTCTGTCCTGACAGCTGAGATCCGGATGCCACTCCTCTGCTATCATCATTGTTGTCCCATGTTGTAAGCGGCCAGTGCCTCAGATTTGAACATGAATGTGATGCACCTGAGAGTCTTGTTAAAATGCAGACTGCCCGGGGCGCCTGGGTGGCGCAGTCGGTTAAGCGTCCGACTTCAGCCAGGTCACGATCTCGCGGTCCGTGAGTTCGAGCCCCGCGTCAGGCTCTGGGCTGATGGCTCAGAGCCTGGAGCCTGTTTCCGATTCTGTGTCTCCCTCTCTCTCTGCCCCTCCCCCGTTCATGCTCTGTCTCTCTCTGTCCCAAAAATAAACGTTGAAAAAAAAAAAAATTTAAAAAAAACAAAAATGCAGACTGCTTCAGTATTTCAGGAGTAGAGTCTAAGAGTCTGCATTTCTAACAAACTTATTTCACCACCTTTATTTTTCTCATTTTTTATGAGATAACCTCAAGGTTTAGTAATCTAGATCAGGAATTTTGAATGCCTGTGTAAAAAATTAGAAGATTTTGGTGCTTATCTGGAAGTTCCAGAATGTCAGAGCTGGAAGGATCTCAGAGATCATTGAGGTTTATCTCCTCACTGTATGGTTAAAGTGTGGAGGAAGGAACAAGTTCAAGGCCAAAACTAAATTCTCCCATCTCCTATGATACTGGTCCTCACTTGTAACTCTTTCTCCCTTAATTTTCTCAGAAATCCCTAGAGTGCATATAGTGTGCGCATATGCAGTGTATGCCTCTTATTGAGTGTACAGAGTCTAGAAGACCAGGCACCTTCCCCGCCCCTGGGATGTTCATGGCCTAAATAAAAGCCATTCTCCCCACTTCTCCTAAATCTTCACATCTCCTATCTTTTTCCAAGTTGGTAAATGTAAATTCAGTAACAATAAAAGAAACTTAGTGTTATGTGTGGCAAATCATGATGAACCAAGAAAGAAAGCTAAGAGTTGGGGGAATTAAATCTTAACATAGATGTGTAAGGATAAACACACCCTACCTTTAGAACAGCTTTCAGGGGCACCTGGGTGGCTCAGTCTGTTAAGTGTCTGGCTCTTGATTTCAGCTCAGGTCATGATCTCACAGTTCGTGGGTTCAAGCCCCGTGTCAGAGCCTGCTTGGGATTCTCTCTGCCCCTCCCCTGCTCGTTTTCTCAAAGTCTGATTACAACTCACAAATTTGATTTCATGAACTTTAAAGGTTCTAACCCTGAATTTTGGGGCTTAGAGTCCTAGTCACACAGAATATTGGGCTGAACTGGATCTGAGTTTGATTCAGTATGGTAACTTTCCTTTACTGAAGCTGAACTCCCATCTGCAAGGAAAACCTCCCTACTGTTACACTATTCATTTTCTTTAAATCCCATTTAAGGCATACTTATTCTAGGAAGACTTTTTGTCTATATCTTATTTACTGTTTCATTTAGTATACCCTCAGCATTTATATACTGTTTTTCCTGATTGCCATGTGTAAGTGTTTGGTTTTGATTTCATTTATGTTTACTGTGTCCCCAGTTAGACTGTTAATTCCACATGGGCAAAGATCCTATATTCTGTTTCTGTGGGACACTCCCATTCCCTTATAATTTTGTACCCGGTTGACATTGTAATCAGTCCTCCATTAACCTGTGGTTCTTGCAAGGTACAGGTGCTTAGCTCTGCCATGGCATCTTCCTTATACCTGTTTCTCATATGCCCATCCACTTCGTTTCCCTACAGACGCAAAGCTAATGAAAGAAAAACTGTCACAGGCCCAGCTCTTTCCCAGAAGCCTTGAGGAAGGCCTGGGCTTTGAATATGCAATGTTCCATAATTGTGTTGAAGACAGGACAGTTTGCATATTTCAAGGAGGTCCCTACCTGCAAGGAGCACCTGGGTAAGAATGACAGATAACATCCCATAGATCAGTAGAAGTCTGGATCTGAAAGATTATTAACTTATAGTATCCACATATATCCATAGACTACACTAAAGACATTACAGTGGCAATGTAGATACATATTTATTGACATGGAAAGATGTTTATAATTATTAAATCACAAACTCATGGGACAGAACAATAGAGTATAATTTGAGAGTATCGTTAACATGTTTACAGCAGTTTGTCACTAGATGGTGGGATTATAGGCCTTCAATTTTTTATTTTTCTTTGTTTCTGTTTATCTACCTTTCTTACATTGTTAAACAGTGATGTGTGCAGTTAAATAAAAACATAAATATCTTACATTATAATTTAGCTTTCTGCTTGATTGTGCTCTGATTACCATTAAGTTCTGGTGTATTACCAATACTATGCTATTATGTTATGACCAAAAATGCTGGGGACATGGATATTATTTGACATTCAGCTCATTGAACATGGACGAAGTGGACCTTTCATAAGTAAATTATATGGAGATGTTCTTGGATAATTTCTCCTGAGAGGCTCTGTTTTTAGACCTTTTGAGAACTTTCTCTTTCTCTGTTGTAACTAGATTCCTTCACGGAGGTGCCATTGCAACCATGATTGATGCTACTCTTGGTACGTGTGCTGTAGTAGCCGTAGGAATTGCCATGACTGCCAGCCTCAACATCAGTTTTAAAAGGTAAATTCCTGCGTATTCTCTGCTTTTTAGATGTCATGGGTCAGGCTCCCCAGTGGCAGACCCTGAGACAAAGATTTGTGTGCAATGATAAAAGTGGTCCCAGGGGAGACTAGCACAGGAGTGGGAGGAACAGAACAAACAGGGTAAAGGAAGAAGCCAACCAGGCTGGGCTGTTGTCAAAGTCCTGCAAAGGGCAGCTTCAGCCTGATCATCCAAGGGGCTCTGGAGTGAACTGTGTGCCTCTGAATTGTTCCTACCTTGAGGGAACTCTGTCACACATCAGTCCTACGATGAGGGCTGTCCTGGGGACCAAAATTCCAAGCACTTCGGGCTTTCTGTGTTTGAGCAAAGCAGTTTCTAGGCAAAAATAACCAAACAACAAAAACAAAGGTGAGAAAAGGATTGAAGGGGATCTGAGTGGAGCACCAGGATCCACTGCCTAACAGAACATCCAAGCTGTATAACTTCACACAGAAATAAAAGAGCAGGCAACAGGATGAGTTTGGTATCCATCAGAAATAAAGCCCAGCATGGTCTTCCTTAATTCTTTGTTCCTACAGCGACACACCTACAGTTAACAAAACAGTGTGGAAACTTGCATAGGAAGAGCGAAAGAGCAACAAGGCAAAACAGAGTTTAAGAACAATTCAGTAGATGAGGTCTCCAAATGAGGTTTTATGGGTTATTGATTTGCACAGTGGGGGGCATTTAAGATACAGAACATCTCCGTTTTCTACCCCAGAGAGTTGTCTGGTTTGTGTGGCCATCATCAGGAAGCCATGCCTTGTAGACTATGGGTTTACTTAATGTAAGTAATCCTTAGTGAGGTATTCTACAGAAAAGGGCACTTCCTCCTAGGTGCTTTTTTCACTTAATTTCTGGGGCAGCAAAAGTTTTTCTGTAAATATTTTGTTTTGCAGTCCGTACTGTCTCTAACATAACTTCTCAACTGTGCCATTGCAAAACAAAAACAGCCATAGACAATACATAAATACATAAATGAATATAGCTGTGTTCCAGTAAAACTATTTACAGGGGCGCCTGGGTGGCTCAGTCAGTTAGGCGTCCAATTCTTTTTTTAAATTTTTTTTTTTTCACGCTTTATTTATTTTTTGGGACAGAGAGAGACAGAGCATGAACGGGAGGGGCAGAGAGGAGACACAGAATCGGAAGCAGGCTCAGGCCATCAGCCCAGAGCCTGACGCGGGCTCGAACCCACGGACCGCTGAGATCGTGACCTGGCTGAAGTCGGACGCTTAACCGGCCATCATGCCACCCTAGGCTCTAGGCCCAATTCTTGATCTCAGTTCAGGTCATGATCTCACAGTTTGTAAGATCGAGCCCTGCATCAGTCTCTGTGCTGACAGCAGGAGCCTACTTGGGATTCTCTCTGTCTCTCTCTCTGTCTCTCTCTCTCTCTCTCAATAAGCATGCTCTCTCAAAATAAATAAACATCTAAAAAAATAAAATGTGTGCGATCTCTCGCTCTCTCCCTCTCTCTCAAACATTTTTTTAAAAATTAAAAAAAAAAAAACTTTATTTACAAAAACAGGCAGCTGGCTAGTGGGGCTATAGTTTGCCAGTTTCCTGGAGGCCCAGTTGAAAAAACTAGACAATGTCATTTATCGCCTTTTCCTGGAGGGTTTCTGTCTCTCCACCTCACACATACACATACACAGGCCTGCATGTGCACACATACACAGATGTAGAAAGAATCGAGGCCAGCTGCTTTAATTTCTCCTCCTCAGCTGCCATAATAGTAACTTCAAAATAAAAATGACTTAAGGTAGAAATGTATCACATAAAGGAGTCCAGAGGAAGGCTTTCTGGGCTGGTATGGCAATCTCCCTGGTTCCCAGAGACGCAGTCCAGCTCCTTCACTCACCTTTCACATTACAGAGTGGCACCAAGAGTCATCACATGTCCTGACAGCAGGATTGAGGGAGGGCAGAAGAGCCATCTCCTTTTTTAGGAGACTCCCTGGATCGCCCACACAACACTTCCATTTAAAGTCAGTAGTGGGCTGGGGCGCCTGGGTGGCGCAGTCAGTTAAGCGTCCGACTTCAGCCAGGTCACGATCTCGCTGTCCGTGTGGGTTCGAGGCCCAGGCCATTGGCTCTGCAGGCTGTTGGCTCAGAGCCTGGAGCCTGTTACCCATTCTGTGTCTCCCTCTCTCTCTGCCCCTCCCGTTCATGCTCTGTCTCTCTGTCCCAAAATAAATAGTTAAACTTGAAAAAAAAAATTTAAAGTCAGTAGTGGGGCGCCTGGGTGGCTCAGTGGGTTGAATGTCCATGCTGACAGCTCAGAGCCTGCTTGGGATTCTTTTTCCCTCTCTGCCCCTTCCTCCCCTGCTTGACTCACTCTCTCTCTCTCTCTCTCAAAATAAATAAATAAAATTTGGGGGGGCACCTGGGTGGCTCAGTCGGTTAAGTGTCCAACTTTGGCTGAGGTCATGATCTTGCGGCTCTTTGAGTTTGAGCCCCACATTGGGCTCTCTGCTGTCATCATGGAGACCGCTTTGGATCCTGTCTCCCTCTCTCTCTCTCTCTGCCCTTCCCCCGCTCGCACATACACACTATCTCTCAAAAATAAATAAACATTAAAAAAATAATAATAAAATAATCAGGGGGACCTGGGTGGCTCAGTTGGTTAAGTGTCTGACTCTTGATCTCAGCTCAGTCATGATCTCACGATTTGTGAGTTCGAGCTCCACATCGGGCTCTGCTGACAGCACGGAGCCTGCTTGGGATTCTCTCTCTCTCCCTCTCTTCTCTCCCACCCTCGAAAGAAAGAAGGAAGGGAGAGAGGGAGGGAGGGAGGGAGGGAGGGAGGAAGGAAGGAAGGAAGGAAGGAAGGAAGGAAGGAAGGAAGGAAGGAAAGAAAGAGAAAGAAAGAAAGAAAGAAAGAAAGAAAGAAAGAAAGAAAGAAAGAGAAAAAGAAGAAAGAAAGAAAAAACAATCAAATTGTACTAAATACTTCAGTAAATAAAATAACAAGCCCAATATTGGGGTTTTCCCTTAATGTGGGTTTTTTGCCATGAACACAATTATCTCAGTGATCATAAAACTTATTATTTCACCTATACTTATTAAAAATTTTTCATTGTGAGCTTAATTTCTTTAGGATGTCAACATTTCTATTTCCCTCAGGTTAGTATACTTATTAAGCTCATTAGGCATCCAGTAATGGTGTCAGACCCTGGCAGAACCATTTCAGTTAACTGAACTTGTAGGTTCTGGGCAGTCATCCTGGACATTCTTGGTGGGTCAGGATTTTTCCTTTGAAGGCATTCGGTGTACATGCCTGAGTTCATGAAGCCAAGCCCCTGTTGGCATCAAGATTTCCTTACCATGTCAGAGGACTTTGCGGACCTACACTTTTTCTTGTAACCTACTACTTCTCCTTTTTGGTATCCAAGTCCATTGTATCTTCATTGTATTTTTTTCTGCTTTGGTTTATGGCTTACCTACAATTAAGTGCATCTCATTTAATTGGCAGGCTCCATCTCCCAGGAGACAAGGACATGAGTTTTCTTCCAGCTGGGCAAGACATTTGCCTTCCTTCTAGCTGGTTATTTTCTGTCATCAGTCCTTTCTGTTAAGGGTACAATTCCTGCATTTTCTTGAATTGTTTGGCTTCCTGACAGTTCTCTGACTGTAGGGGAAAGGGTTAGTGAGGGTTCTTACGGAGATTGTCTCAAATGGCATTTGTCCCTGAATGTAAATCTACCGAACGTATATAGATGTTTTCGCATGTCAGCTCACCTGCATGTCACACACTTTGAGGGAGCATAAACCATAGTAGCTCTGATGGGCATGATGAGGGCTGTCCAAGTCTTCGCCTGCCCTCAGTTCACGCAGATTCGTAAGTACCTTCAACTAAGGCACTTGTTGAATGTAGGAATCCTTTATAGATCTTCCCGTACAACTCAGAAAAACTACCAGATTGTTTATGCCGTGAGTGTGTAAACATAATTCTTTGAATGCAGCCTCTCCAAACCTGACCTATATACACCCCTTACTCTGTGTCTGCAATGTCCTTTCATAGAGTAAAATACATGTGAGACAGACATATACTGTGTAAAAGAAACACTTACTTGTCAGCACTGTTCTCTGTATGCTTAAAAAGTTAAACTTATCCTCTCATAACCATCCTTATTTTTGAATTATAGCTATAGTTTTATAATTCTTTTGTTAACTTTTCCCTCTTTTGAGAATCATTAGGGACTCCTGGCTTTCCATAACATAGTTAGTTATAATTATCACCCTCTTTTCTGTGCTTAAATTGCATTTGGCCTGTTAGGAGTCTCTTTAGACGGACTCCTGTCCTTTCATTTCTATCCAGATATATTTTTAAGTACTTTTGTCTCCAGAGAGACCATATAATGTACTGGTTAAGAGGACAGACTTTGGAGCAGGTTCAAATGCCCATTTTGCCACTTACTAGCTGTGTGACCTTGGACAGGTGACTTAGAGGTTGATAATATACTATATAGGGTCATTATGAGCCATAAACTAATTCATGTAAAGCACCTAGGACAGTATCTGGTGACATAACAAATAGTAAATGTTGGCTGCTTCTTATTTTTAACATTGTTACTATCATTACTTTTGCAACAACAAGGCATGTCTGTGTCAAGACATGGAATAGCTGCTCTACAAAGATTACGGATTTCTTTTTAATGGAGAATAGTGCTAAAGCCTAGGAAAATATTAGATGTGTTCTCATGGTGGGCAAGATAACCTTGCTGCTGGGCCATTTCTGTGTCACAGCTGGAAAGTATTTAATGTTTAATAAAGGATAGGAGTTCATAGTGGTATTTTAGATTGAACAGGTTTTGTGCCTTACATTTTTAAAATACTTTTTTTGAGGGGTGCCTGGGTGGCTCAGTCAGTTAAGCGTCCAACTTCGGCTCAGGTCATGATCTCGTGGTTTGTGGGTTCGAGCCCCACGTCGGGCTCTGTGCTGACAAATCAGCCTGGAGCCTGCTTAGGATTCTGTGTCTCCCTCTCTCTCTGCTGCTCTCCAGCTCATGCTCTGTTTCTCTCTCTCTCTTTCTCCCTCTCTCTTTCTTTCTCCCTCTCTCTCTCTCAAAAATAAAACATTTTAAAAAAATAAAATTTAAAAATAAAATTAGGGGCGCCTGGGTGGCTCAGTCGGTTGAGCGTCTGACTTTGGCTCAGGTCACGATCTCATGGTTCGTGAGTTCGAGCCCCGCATTGGGCTCTGGGCTGATGGCTCAGAGCCTGGAGCCTGCTTCCGATTCTGTGTCTCCCTCTCTCTCTGCCCCTCTCCCATTCATGCTCTGTCTCTCTCTGTCTCAAAAATAAACATTAAAAAAATACATTTTTGAGTAGTGTGATGTATATTCATATTGTTGTGAAACAAATCTTAAGAACTTTTCCGTCTTACAAAACTGAGACTCTATACCCATTAAATAGTAACTCCCTATTTTCCCATCCCCACACCCCCTGGCAACCACCATTCTACTTTCTGTTTCTATAAATTTGACTACTTTAGTTACTTCATGTAAGTGGAATCATACAGTATTTCTCTTCTTATGACTGGCTTGTTTCACTTAGCAAAATGTCCTCAGGGTTCGTCCATGATGTAGCATGTGACAGATTTTTTTCTTTCTTAAGGCTAAATATTCCATTGTATGTATATGCCACATTTTGTTTATCCATTCATCCACTAGTGGATATTTGGTTTTTTTCCACCACTTGGCTATTGCAAATGATGAACATGGTTCATCGCAGTAGCTGTGGCTGCTCTATTAACAGCTCAGAGGTGGAACACGTCTATCACCACAGAAAGTTCTCTTGTACAGCGCTGGCTTAGTACATTAAGCTGTTACCGGCAATTTTTTATTGGATGTCTTTCTAGTGATAGTCACTCTAAAGGGAATTGGGTGAAAATGAGAGAAGCTGATGGGACCATCCCATGGTCCCATTTTCACTTCTTTAAAGGATTTCAGCTCCCTTCAGACTTTGCTCTGGGTCTTCAGAAGTGACAGCCTGAATCCCTGGTGGCCTCTCTGAACCTAACCTCGAGAACAGCTTAGGCCCAGGTGCCCAGTTGCCACCTGAAGTCAGTGACACTCAGGAGGGAGGGGCTGTGGACAGCCGCTGGGGTCATCCCAGATAAAGGGGTGTTTTATCTGATGTGGTTGGTCGCACATGATACCAGTTATTACAGACTGCCACCCTTCACAAGCACTTGGTCATCTCAGTGTTACATAAATCTGATAAAAACTAATTTTGTCTCCCTTTTTTCTTCTGCAGGCCTATCCCCCTTGGTTCTGTTGTTGTGATAAATAGTCAAGTTGATAAAGTTGAAGGAAGGAAATTGTTTCTTTCTTGTAATATCCGAAGTGTGGATGAGAAGACCGTGTACTCAGAGGCAACAAGTAAGAAGCTATCATTATCTCTTTTTTGGGTTTGGTTCAGTTTGGTTTGGACTATTTTGGGTTTTGTGTTTGAGGTTTTGGAGGCTGTTTTTTATTTTTGCTTTGCTTTGGTTTTATAATCCACAAATGCTCAGAAATTCTCAAGTCCCTGTCATGCAAAACATAAGTTAAAGGTATTCTTATACACTACTGGTAGAAAGCTACTTATCAAAATGTATCCAGACTACAAAGTCATGTACTCTCTCACCCATTTCCAGGACTTTATGCCACTAAAGTGTGCAAAATTACAATGTAGAAGTTGCTGTGCTGTCACAGTAATTACATTACTCGTGTAAAGTTATTTGGAGTAGCAAGATTGGCCAAACAGATATCCATCAATATGAGTTAAATGAGTTAAACCATAAATATGGTTAAACAACCATACTGAGTATGCCATAAAAAATTCTGTGGAATATCGTGATGCCATAAATAAGAATAAGGAAATTCCTTAATTATGGAGCTATCTCAACATGTTGAATGAAAACCACAAATGTAGGACAGTGAATGTTGTATGTTATCATTAGTATGAAAAATGTAGAGAGACCCTTTCATTCTCTTCCCCTTTTCTTCCTCTTTCCCTTTTGCCCTTTCTTTTCTTCCTTCCTGAATAATTTACCTCAAAACCAATTAGGTAGAGTAGGCATGGTAGGCTTGGGATTGACCTGGAGGCCACAGCGACCCATGGCTGTGATGGCCCAAGTACCATGTCAGAGCCTGAGTGGAGTGAGGAGGGTGTCCACATAGGCAAGTGTCTGGTGGAGGATGTCAGAGCCCAAGTAGGGTAAGGCACAGCTCCACATGGGGTGTCAGAGCCCACGGGGGACGGTGGCATCTATATAGGCTGGCAGCTGAGATGGGAGCTAGGTTCCTCACTGTCAGAGAAGGCATTTCCAGGTATAGAAGGAGAGAAAACTAGAATGAGCTCTGTGGGTTGGAATTGGAAATCTTGGACATGAATGTTTTCCCAGTCTTTTGCTCTTAGATATAATATGAATAACTTCAGGGGCGCCTGGGTGGCGCAGTCGGTTGGGCGTCCGACTTCAGCCAGGTCACGATCTCGCGGTCCGTGGGTTCGAGCCCCGCGTCGGGCTCCGGGCTGATGGCTCAGAGCCTGGAGCCTGTTTCCGATCTGTGTCTCCCTCTCTCTCTGCCCCTCCCCCGTTCATGCTCTGTCTCTCTCTGTCCCAAAAATAAATAAAAAACGTTGAAAAATAAATAAATAAATAAAAATAAAAATAATATGAATAACTTCATATATCATCATTTTACCCACATTTTGACAAGTTAGTCTCCAGTGGTTCCGGAGGAGATCATTCTTTGTACTAGTCTCACAGTTTTTCTGTCAGCTTGCCATTTCAAAATAAAAAGTAATACATGGCAGTGAGGGGAAAAGATCTGTATACACCTGTGCTGCATAAATCTTCAGGAATGCCACACAGACAGTGGTTCCCTCTGGGAAGGAGGCCAAGTAGGTTGGAGGGAGAGACCACCTTAGGCCCTTGTACCTTGTGACGTGCTTATGTCAGTGGATTACCAGCACAGGAGCTAGGTTTTGTGGTACCTAAAGCTTGCACAATTTAAGAAAAAGGATGTAAAATTGGGTACAATCCTGAGTTTTTATTTCAAATGGGGAAGGAAACCCCAACATGCTGCTGCTATCTGGGAAATGCACGTCCCTTCCCTCTGAGATCTCTACAGGCAGTTTACCAGAAGAGCTTCCAGATTGTGTCCTTGAGCACTCGCAGCCCCTGCTCTCACAGGGCCTTCGCAAGGGAAGAGCCGTTGAAGACTTACATCTGTAGCTTCGCATTTAGACAAGTTCATGTAGATATCCATTAATTTTTCCTTGCTTCTATTTTGTTTTATCTTATTGGACCTCAAATGCCCAGGTTTGGGTTCATCAGAATTTTTGAGTTAGGACACACAGGCTCATTGGTACGTGAAACACTCATCTTTTATTTATTCATTCACTAATGTGTTTATTTTTTAATTTAATAATAAACTCCCTGAAGCCTACCACCAACTAAGAACCAGAATCTTAATATTATATCCCTACCTAATTTCTTTCCCATCTCATCCTCCTGCTTTCCCCCCCGAGGTTTAGTAAAGTATAATTAACATACAATATTATATTTGTCCACACCTTATTATTTTTTTGTTAAGTTTTATCAACATTATATATGTATACCTCAGGAATATACAGTTTAGTTGTTTGTTTTGAACTTTGTGAAAAAGAGATCATACTATTTGTACATTTCTGGGAGTTGATTTTCTTTTCATTTAGTTTCATGTTGCTGAAGTTCACCCTGTTGTTGGCCTGTAGTTTCCTCATTTTTCCTACTGTATGATATTCCATTGTGTGACTAAACCACAGTGGATTTGTTTCCTCTCATCACCTTGGGCCCCAGATTTCTATGAATGGGCTGCTGTGAACATTCTGTGGTGCACACGGGCAAGAGGTTGGCAGATAGTTAGGAGTAGAGTAGGGGAGTGTTCAGCTCCACGGGGAACACCAGCTTGTTTTCTAAAGCTATACCAAATTATACTCCCACCAGCAATACATGAGATCCCTATCTTCTCTTGCAATTGGTAAAGTTAGACTTCTGGATTTTGCCAATCAAATGGTTATAAAATGTTATCTCTGTGTGATCTTTTTATTTTTCTGATCACCTATGAAGATGAGCATTTCTTCATATATTTGTTGACCATATTTGTTCCCATTCTGTGAAATTCCTGTTTGTTCAGGTTTTTTGTTTTTTTCCTTTTTTCGTTTGTTTTTTAACTGATTTATAGGAGTTCTTTCTATATTTTGTATTAAACTAATGTTTCCATTGGATATGTAAGCTGCACATTTCACTTTCCAGTATGTAAGTTGTCTTTTATTTGCTTTAATGTATCTTTTTCTATGAACAGAAGGTTTTCTTCATGGTAATATAGTTGCATCTATTAAGTTTTCTTCCTTATGGTTAATGCTTTTTGTGTCTTCTATTCCTCCACACCTACCCCACCCCCCAAGTATCAGCTATTTGCAGAAATGATGGATAAAAGAAGCAGGAGGAAGATCCTGAACACTTGGAATCCACAGTCAATTTAAAAACTCCATTCCAGGCTGTGGTTTAGGTGTCCTATCTCCCTAAACCTTTCAATATCAAAGGTTCCAAATAGCTTAGTTGTAATTTCACTTCCTTCCACTTTCCTGACTATCTCTAATGGAAGTGGTAATGAACTGTGAAATGACAAAGTGAGAGAGGACTGGGAGAGGAAGAGAGGCACTGTGGTATTGTGATAGTCAAAAGTTGACTCTTAATATGGGTAAGAAATGAGAGTAGGCCCAGAGACGGAAGGTACAAATATGAATCTAAATCCCTTTCCTTGTGTATACATTTCTACTCGGAGAAGTCCCATCCAATGGCAGTCACCTTCTGTTATTTTGTTTGTTTAGGTTTATTTGTAAAGCTGGATCCTAAAACAAGGTTGACATAAACGAGCTTCTGGTACATTCTACACCAGTCTGCGTTAGGGTCTCCTTCCCCCAGAAGAAGCTGTTGTGCCATTCCTGCTCTACTTACCTGCCATTGAGTCCCCCAGAGGGTGAAGCCTGCTAACACACCTTCCTGAACAGATCTTCAGAATACAACTCCAGGGACTCTGGTGCCATCTTCTAAACTCTTCAACACAGAAGTACTCCTTGTGAGAGTGGCAGCAATTATTTGTGTCTCCTTAGGATAAGTGTCTGGTTCACGTGACTTTGAATGGGTTCCTTAAGGCTGCACAAGCATGCCTTGTGCACAAGCACAAGCACATGCACAAGCATGTCTGCCCTGTTGCTGCCTGGAGAGAAAACTCATACTGAAACTCTTACCACAAATTTGGATATGCCAGAAAACCAAAGGAAGTAATGAGGTATGTGTGCGTGTGTGTGTTATAAATTACAAAGCTAGCTTTATTGTATCCAAACAAATCTTTTTGGCTACAGTAGGAAGTGCAGCTAGTTCCTATTGGAATGAATAACTCAACTCTGGATCCTAGAGAATAAACAGCTGTACGATTTTTTTTTTATGTTTATTTATTTTTGAGAGACAGAGAATGAGCATGGGAGGGACAGAGAGGGAGACACAGAATCCGAAGCAGGCTCCAGGCTCTAAGCTGTCAGCACAGAGCCCGATGCGGGGCTCGAACCCACGAACCATGAGATCATGACCTGAGCAGAAGTCCGAGGCTCAACTGACTGAGCCACCCAGGCGCCCAACAGCTGTACCATTTTTAATATAAACTGTCCCTTGTGTCTTACCAACAACATAGTTTATCATCACTGGAAGAAGCCCATATTTATTTCCTAGATATCTTAATCCATTCAGTCTGCTATAACGAAACACCACAGGCCTGGTAACTTATATACAACAGAAATTTATTGCTCACAGGTTTGGAGCCTGGAAAGTCCAGGATCAAGTTACAGCACAGTCACCCTCTGGTGAGGGCTAGCTTATGGGCTCATAACTGGTACTTCCTCACTGTGTCCTCACTTGGTGGAAGGGGCTAGAGATCTCTCTAGATCTTCTCTTATTAGGGCATTAATCCCATTCATGAGCATCCCCACCAGCATCATACGAGGGTTACAATTTCTTCACATCTTTGCCAACACTTCTCCCTTCCTTCTTTTTTTTTTTTACAAAAAGCCATGTAAAATGGGGCAACCACTATGGAAAACAATTGGCAGTTCCTCAAAAAGCTAAACAGAATTACCATATGAACCACCAATATATACCCACCGAATTAAAAAGAGAGGCTCAGGGGCACCAGGGTGGCTCAGACTGTTGAGCGTTCAACTTCAGCTCAGGTCATGATCTTGCAGTCTGTGAGTTCGAGCCCTGCGTCAGGCTCTGTGCTGACAGCTCAGAGCCTGGAGCCTGCTTCAGATTCTG